GGCAGTGTCGCCCAAACTGCTGAGGAAGTTGAGGACCTCTGGATCAAACATTTCGCTGGCATTGAAGGTGGGACATGCATCGATCCCGTGCTCCTTGCTAGGAACATACAGCAAGGCCAGCTCGCACGTAATCTTGATGACTACTGTGTTACGGCCGACGATGTCCCGTCTAGGCTCGAGCTCGAACAGTCGTTGCGACAGACACAGGTTGGTAAAGCCTTCGGGCTGGACAAGGTCCCTGGAGAGGTCCTGCACGCCGCTGCGGGGTCTTCCTCGAAGGCCCTCTACCAACTGTTCCTGAAAGCTTCTCTCAGAGTTGCTGAACCCATTCAGTTCAAGGGAGGGAGCCTCTTCGCGATCTGGAAGGGGAAATCGAGCACGGCTAAGGCTTCCGCCTATAGAGGCATCCTCGTCAGTTCGGTCACAGGCAAGTCCTTCCATCGCGCCATACGCAACAGGTCTGTTGATGCCCTTCGCAACTTTGGGCAGCCTATGCAAATAGGGGGGTTGCCAAGTTTCCCGGTTACCATGGGGTCGCACTTCGTGAGACTCTTTCAAGCCGGGAGCCACAGACGCAGACGGAGCCATGGACTTTTGTTCCTGGACCTTCGTGAGGCCTTCTACAGGGTGGTGAGACCTCTCTTGGCGTACTCACCCTGGGGGGACGAGGACTTTGCCAAGGTGGCCCAGCTGGTCAGGCTACCGCCGGAGGTTATGCACGAACTCCATGTCCACCTTGGGCAGCGTCCTGTTCTGTCTGAGGCTGGCACATCGGCCTGGACGACGGCTTGCATGTCAGAAGCCCTTGTTGGAACCTGGTTTCGTTTCCAGGGCGGAGAGAAAGTTGTGCGTACTGACATCGGCTCTCGTCCCGGGGACAATCTTGCGGATGTCTGTTTTTCCTTCATTTTCGCAAAGGTTCTTCAGGCTGTCCAGGCCGACCTCCAACAGCTCGGCATTCTTCCCGAGATCCCCTGGGCGAACGAGATGTTGGGCAACATCTTTAGCGTCGGTGCGCCTTGTGCTGAAGCCTTGCAACCACTGGACGCGACGTGGATGGATGATGCCTCTTTTCTGATTGCGTCGCCCAATGCCGGAGCACTTGCCGGTGCCATGGAGGCTACTGGCAGGGCAGTTGTAGATGCGTGTGCCTCACGGGCCCTTCTACCCAACCTTGACCGGGGGAAGACCGAGTTCATAGCCTGCGCCCTAGGTCCTGGCTCTCGCAAAGTGCGCGCGACGCTCTTTGCAGGTTCCGAACCCAAGCTAAGCTTGCACTGCCGGCTTTGGCCCTCTGCCCAGGTCCGTCTTGTCCCGACTTACCAGCACTTGGGTGGGTTCATCCACCATGATGCCTCGCTTTCCAGGGAGTTGAAGCACAGAGTTGGTTTGGCCTGGAAGTCCTTCAACGCCCGGCGTATGAAGATTTTCGGTGCCCCAGGGATTGCGCGCCGTGACAAGGTGTTGCTTTACGAGTCACTGATACTGACAGTCCTCCTGTACGGTGCAGGTACATGGGATACTTTGCAGGGGCCCGAGTTGGCCATCCTTGAGACGGCCTACCACGGCATGGCCTGCTACATGCTCCGTCCTGCCTTTACATACGAGCAGGCGATGCACATGAGCCGGAGCCGGGTGTTGTCTCTCTTGGGCCTCCCGTCGATCCCGGTGTTGCTGCATGTGGCTAGGCTCCGTCACCTCCTTCCCTGCATTACCACCAGCGTGCCCGTCTTTTGGGGCATTCTGCATTGGCAGGAGTCTTGGCTGGAGTCAGCTAGACAGTCGATTTCCTGGCTATGGGAGCACATCGACAATGGCGTTTGGACTCGCAGCTGGCAAGAAGCCTGGTCTGAATGGAAAATGTGGTGCCTCCACCGGCCGCGTCGGTGGAAAGGCGCGGTCCGCCGAGGACAACTGCAAGCGGTTCTCCAGGAGCGTTGGAGGTCGTCGGAGCGACACCACCACGGCCTCATCTGCCGGCAGCTCCGCAGTGCTGGGGCAATCCTTCCTCCTCAAGCGGCCAATCCGACGCCTCAGCCGCACTTCTGTGCCCCTTGCGGGTTGCTGTTCACCACGTACCAGGCATGGTCTGTGCACGCTTTTAAGTCACACGGACACACTGCCGAGTATCGGCAGGTTCAGAGCGGGACACAATGTCAGGCCTGCCTTAAGCACTTCCCAACACATGTCAAACTGTGCCGGCACCTGCAGTACCACCCTTGCTGCCGCCAGCGTTTGCAAGAGGCGGGACACGGGTGCCGAGTTGAGCCTGGCATTGGCAGCAAGAGAGCCCCTGATGATGGCCGCTTCCAGGCCCCGTCTCTCCAGGCGCAAGGGCCCCTACTCCCCTTCCTGGGGGAGGGTTGGCAGGATTACCTCGAACGACCGTCCGTAGAGGTGATTGAATGCCTCAGGTTCTTGTCCTACGGGCTGGATGAAGAAGCCCTGACGGAGTCAACTGCCTGGGAACGCGTTCGGGTTGCCTTCTCTTCTGTTTGCCTTCCAATCCGGAAGATACAGGCGACTGCGAGGATTTGGCTCTCGCTGCTGGACGACGCCTGCATAGAGGATCCCTTCCCAACGGGAGTGCTGCGGAAAATCGGCCAATGGATTTTGACGGCCCTGCTTGCTGAGTGGCTCGTTCCTTCCCCGGTTGTCAGGCCTCGCCAGGCTTGCACCTTCAGGGACGCGCCTTGCACTCTCCCCGTGCTTGACGTCTCTGCTCTTGTCCCGCGGCCTGTTGATCTGCCCTCTGATTGGGTAGT